TGTTCCCATGAAGCTCGTGAATCATGCATGAACACACTGACCAGATATTTCTAGCCAGCCAAATAGCCAAAGGATTCATTTCCTATAGAAGACACCTGATTACAGTGTTGGGACAATGCATTCCAGGCTTGCTTGCACTGGTACTAACCCACAGCACTGTGTTATAGATGCTGGTTGCCTCAGTCTCGAAATCCTTCTTAGCACAGATGGCGGCACTCTTCCCTTATCTTCTGAGACACTTGCCATTTCTTCTGAATTTTTAACCTTTCTCTCTCTCTCATTTGGAGAGGGCATTTGCTTTCAAAATGCTTTTTATTATCAAAACTTTTATTTTTTTATGTATTTATTTAATTAAATTTATTGGGGTGACACTGTTTAATAAAATTATATAGGTTTCAAATGTACAATTTAATAATTTGTCATATATATATTGCATTGTGTGTTCACCACCCCAAGTTAAATTTCCTTCCATCACCGTATGGGTAAAGGGGGTCAAAAGGTAAAAAAAAAAAAAAATTAACTAAAAAATAGAGGCTCCTTTACTGCCATTCCTTGCGGAATGTTAAGATTTGCATTAAAAAGAATGTGATATTGATACACACACATGCAATGGAATATTATTCAGCCTTAGAAAAGAAGGAAATCTTGCAGTACGTAACAAAATGGATGAACCTTGAGGACATTACGCTAAGTGTAATAAACCAGTCATAGAAGGACAATAATGCGTGATTCCACTTGTACGAGGTACCCAAAATAGTCAAACTCACAGAAGTGAAGAATAGAGAGATGGTTGCCAGGAGCTTGGGGATGGAGGAAAGGAAGTGTTGCTAATCAAAGGGAATAAAGGTTCAGTTATGCAAGGTGAATAAGTTCTAGATACCTGCTGTACAGCCCTGTGCTTATAGATAAATACACTGTTTCTGTTCTTGGAGACTGATTATATAATGTGTCAGGTGTTTTTTAAAACTTTCCTAAGGAAATTAAAGTACTTAAAATTCCATCTTATTTTTGTGTGGCAATGGGCGGATCATTTAACTTCTGTTGGGTTCCTTATCTTTTAAATAGGAATATTAAGAGTAACTACTTCATGGTAGTGTCATGAGGATTAGATGAGCTGGTAATACTTATCACCTTATTGATTAATCTCACTTTATAAACAAGTGGATAGACATGTAGAGGAGGAATTGTCTGCAAGTGTGGTCATCTATCAAGTTAGTGTCAGAACCTAAAAACTTCAAAAATGCATCAAATCTTCCAGATCTTTAAACCAAGTGGCACTTGCCAATTAGAAAGCAGTGGCTTTTAACTCAGCACACATGCTTCAGCTGAGAATTTTGTTTAAACTTGGATTCCCAGATCCCACACCTAATGCAGGAAGTCTGGGATAGGGCCCAAGAATTTGGATTTTACAGGGTCCCCAGGGGATTTGGATGTAGGTGGTTTCTGGGTCAACTAGAGAAATCCTGGTGAGAAGTAATATAAGGGGTTACCACTAATTGAACTCTTGGGGGAAAATTTTCGTGCAGCCTCTTCTAAGCAGAAATGGATGGATTTGACCCTGGAGGATGAGGATGGAGAGGTCATGCATGGGCCATGTATAAGGGTTAGGGGGATAGTTAATGGGCAAAGACAAAGTGAGAGAGAGAAGCATGGTTACTTCTGTGTTTGGAAGAGTTTAAACCAGCTGGCATATTAAGGTAGAGTCAACATGAAAAAAGACAAAACATAGAGGAAATAGATCCCCAAATGTCCCCTGTTTAGAAATACAGTTATGGACTACCAAAGGGTACTGATATTCCTTTCCCTTCTGAGACAGGCTCCAGCCAACAAAAAGCCATCTTGCTCTATGGAGTTAGTGCTTTGAATGATTACGTCTTACTAGAACTTCACAGACTTGGAGAAAGGAACCTGGCATCACAACTGCCTTGTAGGACTGGGACTCACAGACTTCTTGGTGTTAAGTATATGTAATTCAGCCAAGTGATCAAGAGCATGAATTTAGGGATCAGAGAGATCTGGGTCTGAATCTGGCTCTGTTACTTTCTAGCTCTGGGAAAGTCACTTACTCTGAGGTTTATTTTCACCTTATGGAAAGAGGAGTTAACAAGAGCTGCCTTGTGGGGCTGTGCTCAATTTAGAGGCTGTGTATGTGAAAAGCTCAGCACAGGGCCTGATACATGGGAAATGCTCAGTATACTGCAGTTATTAGTACCATAATGCATAGAAAGCTACAGTATAGCTGGGGCACATAGGAGGTAATAAATGTTGCTATAATTTATTATTATTATTATTATTATTATTATTATTGTAGCAGCAGCAGCAGCAGTAGCAGTAATGGCATTATTCCACTCTACAGTACTGTCTCCCAAAGAAGCCCACACTGATGCTACATTTATATTAATAACGGCAATGTTGATAATAATAACTAACATTTATTGAATACGTTGTTTTCCATATACTCCTCTAAGTACTTTACATGCTTTAGTTTATTTAATTGTCCTGGTGATCTGATGGTCGTTATTATTAATATCCTCATTTCAAAGACGGGGAAAGTAATGTTGAGAAAAGTTCAACAACCCACTTGAGGTCTCAATGAAGGAGCAACGGTGGGATTTGAACTCAGGCTCCAGAGACCATGCTGTTTCCTGATTCATTTAAGCTGTGCTAAAATTATACTTGTATTGAATCTTCCCTTTTCCTCTCTTTCAGTCCCTTTTCTGCTCTAGCCTATGACCTTTGCTGAATTATGTAAAAACAAACAGAAAATGACCCTTTAACTCCCTCCTGTGGTTGTATAGGATGCTGATTTAGCTTCCTGGTAAAAATCCAGACTCCTTATCACCTTTAAAAGGTTTGACCACTCAAATACAAAGGCCAGCAGATGGTTTTACATTCCCTTATACAGAGAAGATACTTAAAGAATCTATATGCCTGAGTGGTCAGACCTCTTCTTTACCATGCAGTTTGTAATTAATTTCTATCATGGAAGGCATCTGGGCTACTTTGCTCTCAGTGGAAGGAAGATGTCTTATTTCCGGGATAAACTGACAACTGATGGCATAGCTACATCAGCCCGAGGTTAGCCTGAGTCCAGCAAGGTTCCCAAACCCTAGATCTTGTTGGAATCAAAGCCCAGAGCAGAACGAGCAGCTCTGACCTCTCACCAGTTGGTTTCCCAGTCTGTGTTGATGGTGTGCATGGGGTCCACCAGCGACCAGACGCAAAGGAACGGGGTGTGGAAGGAAATGACATGTGCCTGGTTTTCGGTTTAGGGAATAAACTCCCTTCTGCAGAGCAATTTACAGCTTACAAGACCTTTTGACCTTGCGTTATCCCATTTAATTCTTCCAGCCCCTTAGGAGGCAGGGCCTATGTCCCTTTTCTTCAAGGTCACACATACAGGCTGGGTTGAGACTCTGTTCTAGGATTTCTGAGTCCAAGCCCCATGTTCTTTCCACATTTCCATTCTTCAGTCTGAGATGGGATGCGATGCAGTGCTGTGGGGGTAACCCAGGTGTTCAGATGAGAGGGATATTATTGATAGAGAAGAGATCACTTTGGGAGTTCTGCATTCCACTAGCTTAATGTAAGTTGCTACTTGTCTGGAGGAAGTGGATTGCTGAGCTGTGAGTTAAACAGTGCTTTTGTCTTTGATGTGGGCATTAGTCATCTGATACATACCCTGAGATTTCAAAAATGCTTTGTTGAGTAGAATTGTGGGCTTGATCACAGGGGAGCTTGTTCTAACCACCCGCGCCTCCCGAACCTCCCCCCAAAGTCAAACACTATTAAAACTCAAAAATCATGACTGGATAACTAAATTGATGGAGAAAGAATTTTAACATGAGATGATGATGTCATAGGTCTAGCGCTGCGGCCAAAAATAAAGCTTATATAAAAATAACATTTGTGTAGTACTTTTTAGCATACAAAGCAGCATTACAGAAACAATTTCGTTTGATTCTCACAATATCTATAGGAAGTAGGCAAGATCCTCATTTAACAAACAGGGAAATTAAATGTGATGGAGGCTAAATGTTTGTCCAGGAGCACAGTTAGGAAGTGGCAGGTTTAGGACTCAGGTTTTTGGCTCCACATTTTGTGTTCAATTTGGAATTATTTGCTAAAACCTCTGGAAATGTCAAATAATTTTTGCAGGGGATGACTTAAACATGTCGTGACCCTACCCTAAGAAGATAATGGCTAGGATGTAAATGACGCCTTCTCACACTGGGACTGCCTTGTGCTTGCAAGTAGCAATTATTCATGATTACTTTCCTGCAAAGTCTGTGAACATTAAGTCCATTTCTCTCTGGTGAATATATTGGAGCAGACATCTAAATTATTTTTTCACTGTCACCCATCACAGGGAGTTAGGGAGCAGGGTTATGTCTTGCGAGTTCCAGCTATATGTCCTTTGTAAAACAATCAGAACCAAATCCCATTCCCTAAAGAATAGAAAGAGAAATAGCAAACATTTAATGAGAGGATCTATGCTATTTCTTCAAAATGCCCTAGAGTCACTCCCCACAACTATTCTTGACGAAAATATTTGGAGAGCCTAATAGTTCCCAAATTTTGGAGAACGTGGACATCTCAAAAAATACCTTGAGGAAGATAAAGTATGTACTTATGGGTCAACAGTAATTGAGGCAACAGAGCGCAACAGGATTCAGACTCATGACTATTCAAGGAAACTACATAGTAAAGATCTCTATTCATGCTGTTCCCATATAAGCTGCTTTCTATATCCAAAGAGGGAGTTAAGAAGGGAAGGTTGTAGCTTTTCACTTTCATGTGCCATGGCCAGAAACAATTCTAGAACTTGTCTGACTGGCTCTAATGAGGAACGTATGTAAATAAGACCTGAATAAACAAAAGAGAAACCTGCCCATCACCAGTGGGCAGTAATGTAGGTCACCTTCCTGCCACTTACATATCAGTGTTCGTCCCTCAGATAAATGTGAAACGTACTTCCAGAGGATGTCAGTTATTATTGCGTTGGCAGCAGAGACTTGGGAAAGGAGCAGAATAAAAGATATTCTTTCTATCTGTGGGGACCCGCTGTAGTAGTAAGAAACTAAGTACCTGAAAGGACTGGGGAGTTCTTAAACCTTTCTGGCAGGAGCAAGAATTGGCCTCTTTTTCATGAATGAGGGTCATTTTCATCACCTTGGGATGTTAGGCTTTGGCAGCTCTGATGATGAAGCAAGGCTGCACGTGCTCGTGAGAAGAAATGACTTTGCCATCCTTAATCTCCTTGGTGATGGTACGGATTTTAACCAGGAGTCGGGAGAGGGCTCTACAGGTACTGCAGGGCTCGGGTATCCCACGGGGAGCTGAGGATGATGTGTAAACTGGGGCTGTGCATTCCATGGCTCTGGCCTTACTGGATGTGCAAGTGGAAGGCTCCCATTTGGTGGCACACGGGTTACAGGGACACCTAGAAAAAACAGAACTTAGTTACCTGTGATTGAGGGAAGGCAACATTGGCTACGGAGAAAAATGGCAGTGGTTAATTTTCTAACACGTGTCACTCAAAACAAGTATTTCCAAATGCTTACTCATCGACTTTGTACTATTGTTAGTGGGAAAAAAAGAATCAGACCAGGTCTATGGGAAAGCGGCATCCTAGGTTTAGAAGTGTTAGATCGTGTCAGCTCTCATTACGGTCAAAGCCAGAGCTCTGTGGAAAAACACTATGCCAGTAGTCAAAGTCCAGCTCTGTCATTTACCAGCTGGTGACCTCAGATACATCAGGTAGCCCTCCTGACTTATTTTTTCATCTGCAGAATGGATATAATGGAAACCAAACTCACAGGATCAATAGTGATAAGGGACAAGTTGAGAGGCTTATTATCTGTGGGAAGGAGGTTAATCAGATATTTTTCTGATCAGAGAGTTAGTGATGATACTACGGGTGGCTTGAACTCCATCTCTGAAAGGATTCTCAGTGCTTCATCAGGAAGCTCCAAAGTATCTTCTGAGTGTCTACCAATGAATAATTTTTAGAGAATTGGAGTTAAAAACAGTTAATGGTAAGAAGTCTTTTTGGAAAACATCATATTTCTTTGATGAGTCAAGAAGGCCCTTTGGTATAACTCCTCAAGGTGGTGACATCGGTTAACATGGTGCTAGTATAATGGGAACATGCCAGTTGAAAGAATGGTATGAACAGAGTTCACTGATTGTTTTGGAGTGGGAGGTCTCCTTAGCAATTTTAACTGTTTGCCTTTGGAGTGTTAGTTTGGGCTGGGTTGCTTCAAAGAACCCTTGTTCTAGCTCAGTTCCTTATGGGTTGGTTAGCTTCAAGTTATTTAAAAAATTACAACTTCTATAAAAAAAGATGCTGAAACATGCATATGTACATGATGCTGTTGACGTGAAGGGCAAGTGGCTGGACAAGGTTAGGTTTCAGCCTGAGCGGACTATTTCTCCAAAGGAAGCAGGGTCATCCTGTTTAATCTCATAGAATTCAGACTTTCATCTCAGCGAGGAATACTTACAAGTCACCAGGAATGTTCATCTTTGGGGGAACCATTTTAATCTCCAGTAACTTTTAAAACTCAAAGAAGCTAAAAAACCTATATAGAACTAACTCAGTGCATTGGCTCTTCGAAAAAACTCAGCTCAGCTGGACTAGGTTACAATTGTAGGTCTCCAAATGACACAGCTTAAGAGAGTGTACACTCTCTTTAGACCCTTGGATCTAAAGCTCCCCATCACCAGTAAGATCAAAGCACTTGCCCCCTGCTGCCAGTGGGGGTACATACGTGTACGTGAGTTTCTCATAATGCTGTTTTTATTTTACGTACTCGCCATCTGAGCTCTCTAGAAGGCTGCGGTATGTAGCAATCTCACACTCCAGCCTGGACTTGATGTCCAGCAGAATCTCATATTCTTGGTTCTGCCTTTCCAGGGCACATCGGATCTCTGCCAGCTGGGCCTCCAGGTTATCGATCAGACACTGGATCTGGGCCAGCAGGGCTGTGTAGCGGGCCTCCGTCTCGGCCAGGATGCATTCCTGGGAGTCTCTCTACCATGGAGGGGGAAAGTAGGATTTATAATGATGACACCTTTAAGCCCAGGTCACTTGTGATCTGTATCATTTTCAACAGTAGTTTGTGACAAGTATTAATGAATCTCTAAGCCCTCTTATTACCCACTAACCAAATAAATCCCAAAACAAAATCATCACCAATGCTAAAGGTTGTTTCCCTTTATTGTGTTTTTTGCCTCCCTTTAAGTGCTTACTTATCTTCCTCTTTTTTAATCAGTTGATAATCCCCTACCACATTTTCCTATCTATAAGAGAAAGAATATTCCAACTTATTTCACACCTATGCATTAAAACCCCATGACTGTGGTACCTCATGAGTATTTGTACCTTAAAAAGGAAGTGGCAGCATTTAGCCATAAACAATTCCCTCACTGTATGGATTCTTTTATATAATAAAATATGACTGTTAAAACTTTGATGATTAAAGTTCTTTCTTGCTCTATCATTCTGTAAGTTTATGGATAATGAAATTTTAGGTTTTAAAATCTATCTCAATTTTTATAGATGAGAAAACAGGTTCAAGAGGTTGAATGAACTGCCCACAGTTACATGACTAGCTGGTGACAAAACCAGCTTTGGGACAAGGTCTTCCTAATAATACTTTTCATATCCGAACATTTAAACATTTCCTACTTCAGAGAGACAGTACAATGAGGCAGAATCGGTTCTAGCTTTGGAACTTGAATTATGGCTCAGAATCTTATTTCTTTTGTGATTTAATGCCTTAGGATTGCAGTGTCTCCAACTATAAAATAGGTGAGATGAAACTTACCTTGGATTTGGCTTGGGAAAATCACCGTAACTCTCTGAGCCTCATCTGTAAAATTGACTTAATAATTATGCCACCTCTCTCAAAAGATTATTTTATAAATCCGGTAGTTTGTAAAAATGCTTTCTATATAATAAAATGCTCTCTTAGTGTTTCCAAAGTATACTCCATGGGTCATTATTGCTATGAGATATTCTTAAAAAAAAAAGGAGTCCACAGTCAAAAGAGTTTTGTAATGCTCAATGCCGTATCTCCCCTTCTTGGAGATTCATGGTGTATATCAGCTTATTAAAGGCCCACAGGAAGGCCCCCTGTTTAACTTTGGTTTAATTCAGCACTTCCCAGGCTTATTTGCCCACTAAGTCCTTTTTTTGGCCATAGACTCTTTAACAAACAGTGGAACTGCTGTTCCGAGGGACGCAGTTTGAGAAACATTGCAACACAGAAGTGTTGGGCTGTGGCTATCACTATTGTGCTAGGTTTGGTCAGTTTGCTGGGTACCGTTCGGTGCTGGGCCTGTCGTTCAACCTCCAAAGCATTCACAGTTCGTCTCAGTTCAATGATCTCCTTCTGGCAGCACTGCTGCTGCTGAGAGCTGGTCACCACCTGCTGATTCAGCAACTCCATCTGAAACACAGTCAAGTACTTCATGGATATTATGAAGGAAAACAATACTTTGATTAAAGGGCCCCTGGAAATGCAATGTCAGCTTATGGATTTTGACTTTTCTATCTCTCCACCTGCGTGTTGAACCATTGTTCCACATCTCTGCGGTTTGTCTCCACGATGGACTCATATTGACATCTCATTTTTTGTAGAATCTGATTTAGGTCAGCAGAAGGGGCAGCAGTCACTTCAATGTTGAGTCTGTCCCCAAGCTGACTCTGTAAGGAATTGATTTCCTATGGAAAGAAAGAGTATGAAGTCAGTTGGTGAACAGATGACCCCTCCTTGAGTTCTTGTTTCGGTCTAACAGCAATAATTGTATCTGACACATAGCCTACAATAAAGGAATACATGATTCATGGATGTTATTGAGATGCTATTAAATGACAAGGCTATTTCAGATATGACTCTGTGTTCAAATATGTGCAACATTAAAAGGAATTTACTAGCAAGATCAGAGGTTTAAAGAATTTAGATCATTTCCGGGGATGGATAATGAGTGGAGAAGCATAGAGGTGGAATTTATGAGTTCATATTCTCTATGACACCAGTATGGGCTTATGCCATACTTGTACCAATAGTGGCAGAAATCTATGCAGGAATGTCTATAAAAAGATGGGAAACCTGTGAGGACAATAAAATTGGGTTGCTTCCTTCTCCTGGAAAAGCTGGAGAGGACAGTGGAATCTTCAGATATTGTATTATAGGCAATAGATTTGAAACACATTGAATCAGTGGTAGTAGCACTAGGTTTTATCAGGGTAGTATCTAGTGGGGACACCCTTTGTCAAGTAAAACTCGAAGGAATGGATGCTGTTTTTAGAGGCTTGGCTTGTAACGACCCTCTTGGCTTTCTCTAACCTCTTCATGATTGTTTTTGAGGCAAAGCAGCTCCTCCTTCAGAGACTGGACTCGTGCCTCTAGGTCAGCTCTGCCCAGGGTCAGTGCATTCAGGATCTGTTGTAGGCCGTTGGCATCTGCCTCCACCAGCTGGCGTAGGGACACCTCAGCTTCATACCTTTAAAAATGAGACATGAAACGACAGGCATTGAAATGTAGATGGTATAAAGCAGACCAAGCAGAACTCCCTTCTGCATTTTCCTCCGGGCCTCTCATTTAGTGTGGTTCTCCTGTGGGTGTTATTCTCTTTAGACCTGAAACCACTTGATGAACATCACCACTTAATTATTATTCCTATATCAGTTTGCCAGAGTGGTGCCACATTGCTATTCTTTGAGATGAAGAAATTTATCCTCCTTGCCCCGTCCCTGGAGGCGATGCAGTGTAAGTGGAAAGAGCATTGGATTAGGACTTAGAAAGCTTGAGTCCAAGTTTTGGCTCTGTCTTGTACTGGTTGTATGCCTTTGCATAAGTAGCTGAGTTCCATTAACCAGTTTTCTCACCTTAAATGGGGTAACAGTATGTCTACCCTACCTATTTTACTAAACTATTGAGCAGGTAATCAGATGGGTTTATGTTATAACGTACAGATACCGTATACATGTGAGCAGTTATTAATCTTAATCCTTATTGAATTTGAAGGTATTTTTTAGGCTAGTGTCAACATGGTATGGGGCAGGAAGGTTAGTGGACTTGGGAATAATCCTATTGGGAGTGGTTAGCATCAGACAGCGTGAATTCTGTCACAAACGACAGTGTTGGGTGGGCTTACTTGGCTCTCAAGTCATCAGCAGCCAGTTTGGTGTTGTCAATTTGTGAGACCAGTCTGGAATTTTCAGCCTTGGTACATAAGATCTAGAATTAAGAAGTTGTACACACAAATGAGACAACACCAAGACAAACACCGAGATCTTCCTTAAAACCCAAGGGGCTGCTGTGTGTTTCAGTCTCTAGCGGAAGGCTGGTTAGGCTTTTCAAAGCTATGTTTAGGAAGTCGGGGACATTTTAGAAAGTCAGAGTTTTTATTTTCCTAGAAGTTCAGCAAAAATGACTTTAATAAAAATTTCTGTAGATGTTTTACCATTAAAATATAAAATCCACCTTAAATTTGTATAACATACCATGATCTACTAGAATGTAAACTCCACGAGGACAGGGACATTTTTAGTTCACAAATATGTTCCCTAAATCTAGAATAATGTCTTGGTGCCTTGTTGTTGGTGCTCAGTAACATTTGTTGAACAAGTAAGAATAAATCCAGTACATGTAGCAGCGGCATACCACTCTGAATGGAAAACTTAGGTTTGGTGTGGGAAGAAACTATTTAAACAATTTGGAGATGACGAAATGAGCATAAAAGGGAAAAAGTAGTGATGGTGGAAACGATGGATAAAAATTAATTATTTGGAACTTATTAAAAATTCATTTTCTCAAATCCCTGTTTTCCTTTTTGTTAAAGAAATGAAAGCAATGGGTTCTTAACACATTTGGTCCTGAGTTTCTGGTTATAATAGCAGAGTGTGTATCTCTGGAAAGTGAAAAACTCTAGAACTCTAAATTATTGCTTCAAGATGACAATTTCATTCACTAGATTTACTCATTATTTCAGCATAAAAGGAACTAAAATCATTAAAGTTTAGCATGTGACTATCGCTTGGAGAACATCCATTCACAACTTGATTATGCAGGTTCCTAAGAAGCTTACCTTCTGCTGAAGCTCCTCAATGGTGGCGTAGTAGGACAGGTAATCAGGACATATGACTGGGAGCTCTTTGTTACACTCTTCCTGGATTTTACTCTCCAGTTCAGTGTTCTCTCGTTCCAGCATTCGCACCTTTTCCAGGTAGTTAGCAAGGCGGTCGTTCAAGGTTTGCATGGTCTCTTTCTCATTACTGTTGATGCCTTCACCATGCCAGCCACAGTCATCCAGAGAGGGACAGGCGTTGAAGTTATTTATTAAGCAGATGGGCATGGGACGGAAGCAAGGAGTGGGTTGGCAGCCCTGGGACTGGAGAGTTCTGAGAATATGGCCAGTTGGTTGGCAGCTGTTGGCTTCAAGACCACCACGCTGGCACCCGGTGTTAGAAGAGATGATCCTAAAATTTGTAATCCTAGAGCAGCTTTGGCATGGTGTTGAAGAAGAAACAGTTGTACAGCCCTTGGTATCCATGGTGTGTGTGCCCAGCTTTGGCTATTTCAGTCTGTGGTTCCCAGATCCAAAGCTCAAGCTACTGCAATCGTGTCCAAATTCCAAGTCTTTTGTGGCTTTTTCCTCTTTGAAGTGCTTATATAGCCTTTCCTCTAGGTGGTGTCACTGCAGGCAGGATGTTTTCCTTCTTAATGTTTCTATCAAATCCCATAGGAACGTCTCATTAATCTGCTTTTTATTTGCCTGAGAAGAGTTACCTGTCCCATAAAAATATGCATTTAGGCTGTTACTAAGTTATTAACCCACCACAACTACTACTTGTCATTGGATTCAGAACTGTACATTATGTCTTCAAAAGGAACTGTTGTCACAATTCTAACAGCATCAATTATTAAGTAGGTGTGAGCATATTGAGTTCATTAAGTCCTTGTTGACCTCCTCACCTGGCATTGAGCTCCATCAGGAGTGAGTCCATTCTTTTTCCCCCCTTTCTTCTCTAGAAAAGGGAAACTATTGGTATTTAATAATTATCGGTGTGAACTTCGAAATCAGTGTTTTATTTTGTTCTGCCCAACTGCTTTTCCTGTTTTCTTTCGAAATCAGTGTTTTATTTTGTTCTGCCCAACTGTTATTCCTGTTTTCTCTCCTCCTCCTCCTCCTCCTCCTTTTTTTTTGTTCTGCCCAATTGTTTTCCCATTTTTATTGTGAGTCTGGATTACTATGTCAATCTTAAATAAGGCTGTTTTTAAGGCAATTGTTGAATTCTTGTTTTAGCTTTTAGGGTAGGGTTTGACTGCTAATAAGAAAGTTCCTGAAAAAGGATGGTTTTTCCAAAGCCCACATTTGATAACATTTTTGGTGCTTAGTGTTTGCTTGTGGTATTACATTAGCTAAAAATTTGTGATGGTGTTGGTTTATAGTTGTTTAAATATGATCTGTTGAAAGGTATGTGTGTTCTTTCAAGGAATACTTACTCAGTATTTTCTTAAGTTATTTGTTCCCGATCTTTTATGGAGGCTCTAGAAAAGAATAATTTCCTTGCCTTTTCTAGCTTCTAGAGGCCGCCCACATTCCTTGGCTCATGGCCCACTTCTATCTTCAAAGCCAGCAATGGCCAGTCAATGTGTCACTCACATGTGTCACTCTGACACCGACTCTTCTGTTTCCCTCTTCCACGTTTAAGGACTCATGATTATATTGGTCCCACTAATATCATTTGGGTAATCTTCCTATATTAAGGTCAGCTGATTAGAAACCTTCCTTCCCCATTGCCATGTAGCCTAACATATTAAAAGATTCTGGGATTAGGACATGGATATTTTTTGGAGCTCATTGTTCGTATCACACCACGTAAAGAAAAAACAATTTATAATTGCACCAACAAATATCAGATATGAAGGAATAAATTTAGTTAAAAAGCTACAAGATCTATATGAATAAAATGATAAAATATAGTGAAGGACAGAAAACTAAAATAAAAGGAAAGATATATCATGTTCTTGGACTGAAATACTGTAGTCATCTTTAGAAAAAGGTCAATTATCTCTACAGTAATTTAATTTAGAGTCTAATAAATTTATCGATCCTCTCAAACTATGACTTTTTTCAATGAGGCACGATAATTCTGAAGTCTTATGAAAAAAATCGAACAAATTTGAATAGCCAGAAATATTCTAAAAAAGAAAAGCCACAGAGACTGGTCCTTCCAGATATTAAAATAAATTTTTAAGCCTCAGTAAGTAAAGCAGTGTAATGTTGATGCATGAATAGTCAGACAGACCATTAGGATAGGATAAGCAGTCTAGAAATAGACTCCCAAATAGATAGGGGGAATTAATTAATGGAGTTTGGAGACAATTCTGTATTACTTGGGTTAGGGGGCAGGGTGGGGAATGTTGGATCATACCTCATTCCTTATAATAAAACAAATTACAAATGATCAAAGATTCAAATGTGAAAAAGTGAAACCATAAAGGTGCTCAAAGAAAACACAGAAGAATTTTTTTATAAATTTGTAGTCAGAAGACCTTTTGAATAATGTCTCAAAAGTAAGAAACCATAAACAATTTTATAAATTTGACTACATCAAGTAACTTGCATGTGGTAAAAAACACAGCCTACAAAATCAGAAGACAGATGACAAACTGGGAAAGAATATTTGCAACTACAACACAGATAGTGAGCAGAAAGAAATTATATTTAAAAGAAAGTACCTTAGAAAAAATGCTCAGTGTTACTTATAATTAAAGGAAATGCAAATTTAAACCACATTGATATATCATTTTATTTTTCTGCCTATCAGATTGTAAAAAAGAGTGATAACAAATGTATTGTATTGTGTACTGCCTCTCACTTATTGCTGGTGGGAGTGTAAATTTGTACAAATTCCTGTAATAGTTCTATAATCAAACAGTATGATATTGGCATAAGTGTTGGCAAGTAGATCAATGAACAAGAATATAGTCTAGAAATAGACTCACGTATATGTAGTAAATTTTTTTCTTTTTCAATTACAGTTGACATTAAATATTGTTTTATATTAGTTTTGGGTATATAGCATAGTATACAGCATAATTATATTTATATAATTTATGAAGTGATCCCCCCAATTAGTCTAGTATCCACCTGGCACTATACATAGTTATATAATATTACTGACTATATTTCTTATGTTGTACTTTATTTACATTCCCTGACTATTTTTTAACTTCCCTTCATTTTTTTTCTACCCAGTGGTCCCAACTTCTTCCCATCTGGCAAACATCAGTTCTCTGTCTTTAAATTTATGGTCAATTGATTTTATACAAAGATTTCAAGATAAGTCAATGAGAGGAGAGCCTTTTAAATAAATGTTGCTGAATCAATTATATAATTGTGCACCAAAACTTAGTACATCTGAATTAGTACAGCTCTGCCATATAATATATGTAAAAATTAATTAAAGATGGCCAAAGTTACACATATAGAGTTTTTAGAAGAAAACAAAGGAGAATATCTTCATAATCTTGTGCTAAGTGAAGGTTGCTACCACATGGAGAACACTAATGATAAAAAAATTGATTAGACTTCATCATAATTAAAATCTTTTGCTGATCAAGATATACCACTAAGAAAGCAAAAAGGCAAGCTACATGCTGGGCGAAAATATTCTCAATCTATCTAACAAAGGACCTCCCCTATAACCCAGCAGTTTTATGACTTGGTCTATGCCTGAGAGAAATGAATGGATATATACACAACAAGACTTATATAAGAATGCTTATAGAAGCTTTATTCTTAATAGCACCAGATGGGAACAACCTAACTGCTTATAAGCAGGATAATCGATCAACAAACTGTGGTATATTTATATAATGGAATAGTACTCAGAGCAAAAAAGAATAATCTACTGGTGCTTACAATAACATGGAGGAACCTAGAAAACATTGTGTTGACCTGCAGAAGTAGGACTGAAAAGAGTATAAATGGTATGATTACGTTTATCTTAACTTCGAGAACAGGCAAAGCTCATCTATAGGGTTAGGTATCAGAAAAGTGGTTGTCTCCTTTTGAAGGAGGTGAGTTGACTGGAAAGGAGCCTGAAGGAACTCTCAAGGTTTATATTCTACATCTCGATATTCTATTCTATATCTTAATCTGGGTGGTTACATGACTGCATATGTCTTTCAAACTTCATGGAGCTGCAAACTTTCAGTTGATGGATTTTATTGTGCAAAATCATTTAAGATTTGATACAGCTCTGTAGCTACATGAATATTCACTACTTTATTTATATACTCGAATTCCAAATGGATCAAAGATTCACTTGTGGAAAATAGAAATTATAGATGTACTAAAAGAAAAGAGAGAATTCTTTTATAAATTCAGTGAGGAAGGCCTTCATAACAGTGATTCAAAATCAAGAAACCAAAAAATGGATAAATTCGACTCTCTAAAATAACAGTGCTTGAAATAGTTCATAATTTTAAAAACAAATTAGACTGGAATATCTAAGCATTAGGAATGACATTCTCTGTATTTTATAATTACCGATAAATGTTATTTTCTTCATGTTTTTATGTATAGTCTATAAAATTGAATGTCTCACTTTCAGAATCCGGAAAACGTTTGAAAACTATTTAATGTTTCTGCTTCCATACCCTTATCATCACCTTACAATTTTTATTCTCTTCTTATGTCTCTCAGGCAGAGCTGTTCCTCCCTTCCTTCCATGCTGACTGTTCTATTTGTGCTATGGAACTGATTCCTCTTTGATTCCTTCAGGGCCACATTTCATCATGTACTCCCCTTTTCTTGCACCTTTCACATCTTCTTTAATACCCGAGCTATCTTCCTTTCCCTGTAAGCATGTAACCTGATCTTAAAATACATTTTATCCATAACTATGAAGGAAGCACTTCTTCCATGAACGCAGCTTCTTTCTTCTTTTCATTACCCAAATTTTTGATAGAGCAGTGGGTATCAATCACCTTCATTTTTCTACCACCAACTTGTTTATTAACTCCAGATAATCTGGTTGACCTGTAAGCATTCTACTACTATCTTAAAGAGCTTCTTTATTTATTTACCTTTCCATATCACTATTTTCCTGTGCAGAAATCCTCAATGCTTCCTACAAAGCAAGATACAAATTCTTGATTGTTTGGCATTCTAGACCCTCCACAATCTTGACTCAGTTGACTTGACCCCATATCCCATGACTCCTGTACCCACTCCATATATTCTCACTAAACTGCATCCCTTGCCTTGTCTCTTCACAGAATATGTACTCTTGGGGTTCCCTCAACCTTTCCTCATGTAGATGTTTCAGAGATGATCTGGGAGAGACTCCAGGGAGTTTGGTTCTCCTTTCCTTTTGGGCACATGGGAGGGGGTGCACTTTCTCCTTCCCTTGCTGTTAGGCAGGGTGGAACCAGGCCCTTATCTCTAGTTCAAGACTTGTGGGAAGTCTTTTTTCCTGCCCCAGGGACTGAGGAGGCAGAATGTTCCAGATGCTGCAGCCACAGTACTTCTCTCTCTTCTCTTCTTTTTGATGTGACATTTTGAGGAATCTCAGC